TCTAACATTATATTGTTAGAGGAAAAACGTATGTAAAACAGATCGGTTGTGTAAAAAATTAAAACCGATTGCGGGTATTTTCTACGCCAGTAGAGCTTCTATTATTATGCATGAGAAAAATATTTGTTAATTTGAGTTGATAGTCTCAATACCAATTCATTATCATAATTATATTATAGTAAAGTAATCCTAACACACTATCAAATAACTCCTCTTTTGCACCAATCTGTAGGAACGCAATTGTTTTATTTATTTATTTTCAGCCATGATCGTCCCACTGCAGGGCAAAGGCAAAAACCTTTTGCGGCCAATCCTTGTCATAGATGTCTAACTCGTCTCGCCATCTCCTTTTGGGAAACGAACGCAATAACCTTAAAAATTACCAAGCTAATTTTTGACTCATGAGGAAGGTTTAAGTATTCATAATAATTGATTCATTTTGGTTTTGGACTACAAGTTACTTAGTGTTAATTCAAGGCGTCATAGCTACATAATAAATTATAATAATCTTTCAAATGCTTTCTTTTTTTGTGACCCTAAGGTAGGAAATCCTCATGGAGCCCTCTCGCTTGGGGAGGACAAAAGGAACTGTTAGACTCTTAAAGACTATAACCCCCAGTGTCCCGTCTCATACGTGGGTCAGAGGGTGCTGGTGTCACATTCTTCCGCAGCCCCCGAAGAATTTGGGGGCTGCGGTGACCTGCCTATCTTTTGATTGCTACTCCGACTCACACTTGGTCATATAATTTGCATACATTTTTTTTAAGGGGGAAAAATCATCGAATGACTATCCCGCCTGGGTGAGGCGGGAGGGAGTGTCAGACTCTCACTGACTAAAAACCACCCCGTTCCTTCTCCTGCACGTCGAGCCGGAGCCCCGGTTACACGTTAGGTTCTCCGCGACAATTTGCATACATAGAACGAAATTCTAGACCCATAATAGAGTTCAATTGTTTTTGAAATTATTTTCACCTCATTCTATAAAGATGAACGATTAGAAACAATTTGTCGTTTCTAAAATAAAAATGGCACAATACTTGATTAGAGGAAATCGTTAGTAATAAATATGAATTAAGAAAGTAAGACAAGATTTATTACTATTAGATAGAACTAGAAAAGATGATCGTTTTTAATCTAGAGGCTGAGAATTAAATAATTAGTTACTAGGCGTGGTATTTGTGGAATAGTATTTTGCAATTTATTTATTGACTGACTAATTAGTCTTGACATGACTTGAATATTCAGAGTTTTCAGCTTGATTGGTATAATATGATTATCAGTGGAATCTTTTATTTACAAAAAATATAAACTCAAATAAAATAAACACTAAATATATTTAGTAGCCGCGTTGCGGGTCGCGAAATGCTGTTCGTGAATATGAGCCTCTAACATAGCTGGAAATTAGTCTAGTTCCTCGTTAAATAATTATATGAGTAAGCCGAAAAGCATAATACTTAATTGACACAATACAATAATTAATTATTGTATCAAAAATTACTTAAATTGAAATTTTTTCTACTAGTTACAGCTGTGTGTATCTATATATTTTCTAAAGTCTAACTCACACAAACAAAGTGACAATATTATCTCGAATGTAATCAGCAATGTATTATCGATTCCAGGAAAATTACATTTTATTATTAATTAATTAATTAATAGTAATAAGAATAGTTTTAATTATAATGATAATACTAGTTCTCCTTTGTAGCTGTACTTTTTATGTTTTTATATGAAAGAATATTATCAACATAACATAACATCATGCCTTTTATCCCGAAGGGTAGGCAGAGGAGCACATTACGGCACTTAATGCCACTCTACAATGTTATACTCACTTTTTACTATTTATGATATGAGTCCCATGTAGGGGGTGCTACTACTGAGATGTAAAAAAAAACTCAGTAATACTTTGTGCGACCTGGGAATCAAACCCGAGACCCCTTGCCCGGCACTTGCACTTGAGTCCACTCGGTCAATGAGGCAGGCAGTCTATGAGGCAGTCAGTAATATTATCATACTGTATAATCATGATTACACCTTTAATTTCTCGAATGGATAGTCAGAACTATGTTTTTTTGGTATAAGCCGGTACAAACGAGCAGACGGATCACCTGATGGTAAGCAATCGGCGTCGCCCATGGACACCTGGAAAACCAGAGGCGTTACAAGTGCGTTACCGACCTTTTGTATACAGACACCAACATATAAACTGGCTCTTTTCTGTCCAATTTCTTAACTAGATTTTCAGCTTTATTGTTTTGTTATAAAGTCTATATCTACTATACAAAAATGAGTCGGGTTTTCCTTCCTGACGCTATAACTCCAAAACGCACGAACCGATTTCCACGGTATTGCATTCGTTAGAAAGGTCTCGGGCTCCGTGAGGTTTATAGTAAAAAATGTTATATAAAACGAAGCCTGGTCTGGTCTGGTGGTGAAACGGAGTTCGCTGGGTTTGATAGTTTATATATAATAATATTAATATATTGTTATAAAGACTGCCTCGTTGGCCGAGTGGTCGCAAGTGCGACTGCCGGGCACGATTCCTGGGTACTACTGGGTTTTCAAAAAAATCTCAATTTCTTCTTCAAAGTCTGAAATTGTGCCCAGTATATGGCAATAGGCTCACCCCCTATTACATGGGACTCATAACATAAATAGTGAAAAATGGGTGTTACATTGTACAGTGGCATAATATGCACCTCTACCAACTCCTTCGGGCATAAAAGGCCTGATGTTATATTATGTATGTAAGAAAATTAAAAAAATATTAGTGTATATTGACCTGCTGACGTCTATACTACCTATGATATGATGTAGAAAGATATTATGAATAGACAGGGAAAAGTAGATACATATATCTATATCCCATTTTCCCTATTATTGTATGCTATTTTGAAACAGTCTCATAGGTTGAAAACTTGTAAATGTATAGCAAGCCATAGCAAAGTGTCATGGGTTCGATTGCGTGGTAGTGTAAAGTGGTATTGTAGTTCTTTAGGTTTCTACTAAAATTGTACCCGGTATTGCCCACTATTATATGAGTCTGACAACATAATTTTCTATACATATTTGGCTGGACTTCAAATGAGATGGAACTCTGAGTTTGTTTCAGCATTTTTTCTCAGAGTAGTCAGTTAGGAAATGTAGATCTCAACTCGATTTGTTTTTTAAATTGACATGTCAAAGTGTTTTTGTATTTGATGTATAATTGTTTTTTTTAATGCAAATTTACTCATTTCACTTGTTGCCTGCTGTTGGACGGGTGTCATAACAATATGACACTTTTGACATTATGACACATGCATACAAATGTATAATACTTTAGGTTTTGAAAGAACTATTAAAATTAAACTAACCAGTTCATTACAGGTAAACCACTACATCTATATCATGGCAAAAAGTGCTATTGTATGCATAAAGGTATCTATTCTGCAATGAAATAAATATATAAATAAACAGTTCTATGGTAAACAAAGCTATGTCTATTCATATAAGTACATAGTTACAAAGTTGGTACGTAGATAGATGATTCATTAATTTAATCGGAAAACTTGAATAAAATAATTTACACTAAGAATGTGCACTGAATATTTTAATTCAAATTCCTTGATAACTTAATTATTTCCTATGTAAAAGTAGGAATGTCTGATTTTGGAATTTTAAGGACTTTTTTAAGGTTGTTTAAGAACTTTACGGTCTCTGAATACGGTTCAAGGGTATTGTTAAGGCTGCGTTTTTTTTATTTCGAACAGTTTAAAAAAAACAGAGTAGTATATACCGTTTCTAAAAATATGATATTTTTATTATTACAACTGCTTTTTGGCCGATATCTTGTTGCGAATATTATATATTAATTTAATGTATGAAAACTTCTCCGCGAATAGTACGTAGCAATAACATATTCAGGAATCGAACCCAACACCCCTTGCTCAACAATTGCGCTTGGGATTACACGATCAACGAGACACATAGACGAGGCATTTTTTTTATAAATGACAGTACATTCATATTTCTGATAAGCCTTTAACATCTTAACATATTTGCAGTTACAACACTATAATAATGACACATACCTAACACGTTATATTTACTTGATAACATAGATTTTGTCTGTTGACATAACACGAAATGTTTGTATTGATTTATATTTCCCTGTTACATCTCCAAAGAGGTACAGTTATACTTAATCGATTGCACCGACTCGCATAACCAAATCGATTAATCGATTAAATTATTGTTACTCTTCAAAATATTGGGTTAAACGGTCTTTGTCACGCTTACTGTATCAATTTAGTTACATGGATCAAATTTTTAAATATCTTGTAAACAGTAAGCAGTGTACTGTCTGAGTGTTATCTAAAAAGACACTGTCAAACGAATAAACATTGTGATAACGATAGATAACAATACGCATAAATCACTCATAGAATGCTCTTAAACACAAAAAATATTTTATTGTTCGTGTAATTTTAGATCTTATTTAGAAAAGGATAGGTACTTAAATGGAATAAAAAAACAGTACACACACTATTATAAGTTCATTATAATAATGTGATGATAAATTAGTAACAGCGCATGGAAGAAATTTTTTTTTCGACCTATCCTTCGCGAAAGTATTTCTAAGTCATTAAAAACTCATAACGAAATGATCCCGATAGCTACCTAGCTATGTTCTGCGCCCGAGTCATCTTCGAACGCAATCAAAGGGTCATTGTTATATTTGATAAGATAAATTTTGATTGAGAACTCTGTGTGGAAATTACCTCAGTGTCACTATTTATATCAGTAGAATAAGATATTTATGTCTACTTTACGTTTACAATAAATATTTTACACGAACTTTTCATTCATAAAAATACGATGCAAAATAGTAAAAAAAATCTTTACATACCAGCTCGTAGCATTTTGCAAAGCAAAAAAATCATTCCTTTAGATGTCACACAACACTCAAAAGCATTTTTTAATAATTTTTAATGCCACTAAATCACAACACCAACCTTTTTTGAAGGAACCGCTTCCGAAATTCTATATATGCTGACCGGCCTTTATCTTCTAGGTCTCCAGAATGGACACGAGCGTGTAGGGGCAGTGGTACTTTGTTAGCAAAATTGCCATAGTCCATTTGTATATCCACTATCAGCATCAGCGTGAAGAGTACGAGGAAGGCGCTGATTGCGAGCGCAAGGCGCTCCTTTAGCTTCATGTTGAGCATAATGCGCGCGGTCTTGCTGCGCGGCGCGATGGGACTGCGCGCATGATCCTCGGGCGTCGGCGACCGCTTATAATCGCGGGCGCTCGCGCCGCGCCGCCTCCGCCGCCACCGTGCGCGCGCCCACCCGCTGACGCTGCAAACAATAACAACACGTTAAGGGTGCTGCACGTCACGTAACCAAACATTTGAAAAATGTTGATTAAACTAACATCTGTTTTAGTATCACGTCACAGTTCTAGAAATTCTTTACAACAAGTTAATGACAGTAACAAAATTAAAGCTATATACAATCACTTAAAAGAAAATGTTGTTTTTGTTGTTTTAATTTCCTAATTTTTCTAAGGTTTAAGATCTTTCATTTTCAACTAGGCGAGGAGAGAAAAATATTTTTGTACCAAGATACAACAAGATTTAGTTCTTCATGGAAGAGATAAGCTCTAAGGTTATGATATTTTCCTTAATAGAAAGATTGTAGGTACTTGTAACCACTAACTAGGTAACCTAATAAACTGAACCTACGTGTAATCCAACAGCATGACCTACATCGCATCGGTAACGATCTCTTTTAACGAGATAAACAATGAAATATGATTGTCGTGACTGTTATCATTTTTATTTTTTATAATAATGTCTTCGAGCGCTATCTCCATTATTTTTCTATTAAGATCTTGTAAAAAAAATATTACAGTTAGTAGTAAGTAGACCTCCTCACGAAGTTAATCGCTCGGAGAAATAATTACACTATTAGAAAAGTAGCTACTCTTAAAATATCTATGTATTTTTATTTTTTACAGACTGAATTTTCTGCCATGCAATGAGTGTATTTCCAAACACAGAGCGTAAGCATTACAATCAGAACCAAATTATAGATCACAGAAAGAGTTGTTTCTTATGGAATAGGCATAATGACAGGGTATGAAAATTAAAAATCTAATGAATCCGTCAGTTAGGTAATGAAAACATATTAGACACGTATTTTTTATTTTGTCGTATAAAGAAAACAATACTTAGATAAAACGAGTCAAAGTTTAGTAGTGGCAGGTAGCTACGTCATTTTATAGTATAAATCGTACTCAAAAGTGACGTCATGCGATATTTCAAATCAATATATCTTCGACTCTATTCGTTTCCGTAAGAAAATAAAAAATACGTGTCTATTGTTTTTAAATACGCTACCAGACGGACATTAAAAGAAAAATTAGCCATGTACCCAATTACTTAGCAGTCTAGGTACTAGTCTAATCACCGCGGACGATGCATCCAAACACATTTGCACAAAATATATTCTAATCGGTTTTCCTATTGTGCGTTTCCACTTTCTACATCCTGCATTTGCGTGAGGACGTCAGTCAGTACGCGTTCGAGCGTCTCACCCGGAAATAGCCGAAAATCATACATAAACAATATTATGTACACCCGATCGTAAATATTTAAACAACGCACGGGTTTGAAAAAAACAAGACGAAAGAGATACTTAACTCAATTCTGAAGTTTTAATAGCTTAACATACATAAATACAAAATACTACTATGTTCCCAATTTACGCAGGTTATGTTACAAATGAAAAACTGTACCCATATTGAATCAGCAATTGGTATCTACTTGCGACAAACAGATTTGACCTGTATTTCTTATTCTATAGATTTGACTTTTAAACATTCTCAAACGTATCAATACATAATTTACAAAGTCAACACGTTGCGTAGGAAAGAAAAGTGTACCTATAGATGTCTAAATAATAGTGGATTGCTCAATACATTGTCGGTAGATAGGTTATGCTATGATTGCAAAACTTGCGAGTTAGCGGTGTCATGTGTATCGCATGCAAAATAGAACATTTTGGAAACATGACGCCTAACGTTGGGAACAAAGTTCATTGCTTTGCGTATTCTGTAGTTTGCCCGAGTTATGTTTAAGGTTACAACTTCTGTTTGTTTGTTGCCATATAATAATAACTGCTATTATAACGCTAGAGAGTTTCTTTTTGTTTGTTTCGCTGCATTTAGGTTTTGCATAGTTGGTTTTAGTAAAATATTTTATACAAAGTATTAAGTAATGTCATGGTCATGTTTGGGATGAACCAGTTTTAATATAATGAGAAACAAGTTGGGTGTAGAAGCCCTCATATCTAGAAAACAATTAATTTACAGAAAAAAAAATTACACAGTCCTCAATCCATACAGCAATGGCCTCCTTTCAATTATTGTCAACAATAACTTATAATTTATTGAGCATTTTTTTTATTTAAATTTCGAACAATCGATTCTTTTTATCAACTGTTTTTATTGTTATTTATCGATACTGGCAGCTTGTAATTTGCATAAATTTATCATAAGTGTTTGCATAGATGGCGTATTATTCAATTTATTCAAAGGTATTGATTAAATGGCAATGTTATTTGCATTATGGTATACGTATTTGATTATCATTGTATGATTGCTGCATATTTTTTTTAAATTGAATAACGTTGGACACATCTGTTATTATGCAGTTTATTATGCCTTTGTCCGTTTGCACTGTATCTAATTACGAGTATTAAATAAAGAAAGTAATATGTTTGTTCGACCGTAAGTAAATATAACTTATTGACGTATGAACAATCCAATAAATAAAGTTAAATATTATGCTTTCGTTGATCGACTGATAAAGTGCCTAATTTGTTTTAATTGTTAAGTTAATAAAATCGGCCTCTCAGAAAACCAACGTGAATCAACGCTTGCGTTGTATTTCGTCGTGTTAGTGATGTTACCGTATGCCCAATTACGCATCCTCCCCAGTCTCCTCAATCCCCCAATCCCTCACAATCCCCAAATTCCCAATAAACAATAGACCGGTAACGCCTCTGGTGTTACCGATGTCCATGGGCGGCGCCGATTTCTTACCAAGTGATCCGTCTGCTCGTTTACCGGCTTATATCATAAAAATTGCCGAAATCGAAAGTACCCACTACCAAAACAATATTAAAAAAAAAATTGTTAGTTAACCTGTTTATAATTTTCTCATGACTATCTTCAACCTTTTAATTACATATGCACTACTTAGTACAACAGATAATTTAATAAATCGCTTAAATGCTCTAATGAAAAACTAGCATGCATGAAAATATTGATGACTGTTGATGAAGCGAAAGAGTAGAGTATGTAGTAATCGTAGTAACTGGCGTTCCACAGTCCCTGCCTATCCCCATGGGAGACAGGCGTGAAGTTATGTATGTATGTAATCGGCCGGACAATCTAATTCAAACCTATTTACTCAGCAATTGCACTTGAAACCATTGGACATCAACAACGAAGACAATATAAGATCGTGACCACATCGTAAACACACCCTTTGGTCCAAATGCTCAAACACCACTCAATTTTAAGTCGCGCTTAAGTATAGTTTTGTCCCTAAAATACATTGTAAAATAGCAGAGATTGCACTATATTTAAGTACGACTTAAAATTCAGTAGCCTTTCAGTATTAGAGTGTTAATCACGTCAAACATTAACATAAGACAATACTTTTTAACAAAGAAGTGAGAGTGTCGCATTAGAGTAATTGTAACGGACATAGAAACATGAAACACATTTAACATTAGCTTCATTCTATGTAGAAAGTCGTTCAGTATTCGACGTCTCCGCGTTTTACATTCAACCTGCTTAATGATCACGACCAGGTTTAGATATCAAGTGATTGTGTTGAATACTAGAGCACTGGACAGTACTATCCTGGTGAATAACTATGACATGGATTACATTAACAGCGTACTGTTATGTCGGACGGATTTGAACGAACGAACTTGTCACTCTCACTTGTAAAGTGAGAGTGACAAGTTCGTTCCCGGGATAAGCAAAGCTGGTTTTTAATTGTTCGTATTTGCTTTAACCATTACCCCACGCTAGTCTTAGTTCTGCTTTTTTATTGTATTGACATATACACATGACACTCAGACCCGGAATAAGAATTTATAGATCATACAAAAAGTTGTTCCAAGCAATAATCGACCTCGCGATACATAGGGTTAGTGCATACGACACAAGCACGTTTTTAAGTAGTTATGACTATTGTAACTTCTGACTATCATTGCAGAGCCACAGAGATAAATAGATCAGTAGATTACTACTTTACTTAGTACTACTTTTAGTACATGCACATTTTGCCAATTATGTCAATTCACAGAGTATATAGTTCTATGCAATAAATAGTATAACTTAATCTATAACTAAATACGAAACTCGTACGTTCGTAATAATTTATTATCATAATTGTAATAACATTTAGTAGGCACTGATAAAACTGTATTCTTGTCCGTTATTCCATTTCGATAGAAGTAATCTATACTTATCTTTAGAAATCAGGTTTGTTAATTCTTCTAAATCCTGTGTTAAGGTTTAATGCCTTGCAAACGTATGTACATAGAGATACATACATACATGTAGACATTATCAGAAGTCATAAAAGCCATCTTTAATCTTTAGACTGATGTAAGTTTTAGTAATATTATTATGCCTAGTATTAACAATGATACTAGTGGCATGTATTGACGTCAGACCACCACCGATGGGGCCCAATAGGGCTAGGGACTTGACGGGTTGCCGGGACTCCGGCTCGAAGTGTAGGAGTAGGAACGGGATGGCTTTTAGTCAGTAAGAGTCTGACACTCCCTCTCGCCTCACCCGGGCGAGAGGAGTCGTTGGATGATTTTCCCCCCTCAAAAAAAGCCTTTAGTACAAAAATGTAATTGTTACCAAATAAGTAACAACATAAATATTTAATCGTCAAACGTTGAATACAAGCGTAGAGTGCTTGCAAACATTATCTTCCTTGTACTTTAAGAGATCAAGAGACTCGAGCTAATTGTTATCCAAATATCTATTGGCTCAATAGAGACACGCGACATCGTCCAATGTTTATTATGTTTATATGTACACGCCATTCTATTGACTTGATATACTACTAAGAGGCTGTTCAAATACTTGTTTGATGTTAGAATGAAGGTTTAATGAGGAAACGACACAAATGCAAATTTATTTTTGGGATATTTAGCTACGCCGTAGCAAGCGTAGACGCTGCGTAGCCGTTTCGTAGAAGTCATCTGACTGGCGTAGACGCTTTGATTTTGACGTATTGATGAAGTTTTGGCCTATGAAC